AAGTGGGGTTTCAAAATGTTCACAAGAGCTGGAGTTTCAGGTATCGTATACGATTTTGCTCTCTATGCAGGAGAAGGAACGTGCCCATCTTTTGGGTTGGGGATCTCATCAGATATTGTGTTGCACTTAGCTTCTAATGTTCGACAACACAAGAATTATAAATTATATTTCGATAATTGGTTCACTTCTATAAGCCTGATGATTGCGCTAAAAGAAAAAGGCATTTTGGCAGTAGGAACAATTCGAAGCAATCGAATGAAAAACTGTTGTCTTATGAATGAAAAGGAGCTCATGAAAAAAGGTCGTGGATCATATGATTTCAAATTTGAGGTAGCACATAATTTAGTTGTCTGCCGCTGGTACGACAACAAGAGCGTTCAGCTAGTCTCAAATTATATAGCTGAAAAACCAGTTTCAGAATGCAAACGCTGGTGTCGTAAAGAAAAGAAGTATTTGAATATACCTAGACCTGCTATTGTCGAGTGTTATAACAAGCATATGGGAGGCGTAGACTTGGCTGACATGTTGTTAGACTTGTATAAAATCAACCACCGTTCTAAGAAATGGTATATGCGTATTGTATACTGGTGCCTCAGCACAGCAGTAGTCAATAGCTGGTTGTTGTATAGAAGAGATCTAAAAAATCACGAAGGAAGAACGAAACATATGTCGTTGTTGAATTTTCAATTGATGATAGCAAACGAGCTTCTACACGATTCTGATATTACGCCAGTACACCAACGCAAAAGAGGCCGTCCATTGGGAATCCTTTCAAGCATGCACTCAAATGCACCGTCACCAGTGTCTCCAGCACCATCTAACATTTCAGACGTTTCATTACAAAGTTCATCGTCATCAGCAAAACGATCATACATAGCAGAACCCCCAAAATCCATGCGTCTCGATCAAACTAGTCATTGGGTTGAATGGGGAGCAAAAGGAAGGTGTAGATTATGCCATACCGGTATTCCAAAATCAAAATGTTCAAAATGCAAGGTACACTTATGTTGTAACCCACAAAAAAATTGTTTTGTTTCATATCACACATGAAATGTTTCAAAAATTAATAAAAATAACATAAAACCACAATATTCGTTTGTGTTTTAAAAAGTACCACCATGGCGCAATGTTGCTTATAAGCAACATCTCATAACGGTAAAACCAGAAGTGATAGAAGTTTGAAATTGATATCAGTTCATATTCAAAGCTTAACCAATAACCTAATATATTCCAAATATTTTTAACCACGCCCACTTTAATTCTGACATCAAAGGGTTAAATAACGGAGCAGTTTCATGATCTAGCCAATGACATGTTGGAAATATAAAGTAACCCATGTCTCATTATCGACAGTCGCATCACTATCGACTTTAGTCATAGAGAACAATAGAGGGAGCTACTAGCACTCTAACGTATAAATTCAGTAAAAAGTAATCAAGTGTGCTTTCCTTATCCTGCCCACCGTTCAGAAATTCAAGATGACAACGTGTAGTTGCGCTTTCGACGACGGAGGCGGAATATATAGCGCTAGCGAGAGGTACTCAGGAGGCTGTATGGTCGCAAAGATTTTGTCAAGAAATAGATTTGAGATGTGAAACAATACCAATGTTCGTGGATAATCAGTCTGCTATTAAACTTGCAAATAATCCTGAGCATCATAAAAGAACAAAACATATTGATGTTGTTGGAAATTTATAAAATCAATGCGCCCTCTTGCGCCAGAAATGTAACAGTCTGTGTCTAACCAAAATATAGTCCCGTTCATAGCATTCTCCTTAAGCGTGCTCACCTGTTGCAAAGTTGTAATAAGTAGATAAGGTGACCAACTATACTCATTTACTGAGTTTTGTACTCTTTTTTCGCAAACCGTACTCTTTTCAAATCCTGTTCTCTGAAAGTACTCATTTGTATAATTTTATACTCATTTGTATTTCTAAAACATTTTTTTAGATTATTTTATTTCAATTTTATTAATTAAATATTAAAATTATTTTGACAGTGATTTGAATTTCACGCGCGCATATTGCTTGCCGTTTCCGGCACGTCAGAGGACAGGGCAAACACCAGACACGAGTTTGACGAAAGAAAAATTGAAGAAATGGAACGATGAGAAAATAGAACTTGACAAAAGATGGGTAGAAATCT